TAGGGCGTTGTTTCATTCTCTATTCAACTGATGGATTAAAATCTTGAATAAAGGTCTTTCACATCTCGTTGGATGAAAATATTAAATTTCATCGGCGTGTTTCATGATACGTTACGTACAATTGTCTTTTTCGCTTTTGTTTTAAATGTTCTATTTTAATTGTGTGCAAGGCTCAGTCGAGTAGCGCCCTTCGAAATCAAATTCAGGTCTACCCAACTGTGCATTGGTATTTATTTATTTCCTTATTTATTTATTTTTATTTAACGTTAAAATCTGTGTGTGAAGTAGGGAAGAAATACATTCTGTGCACGGTTTCGTAAATTCTGGGATCCCAATGCTAACCCAAGTTGTTACTTCGCTTTCTTGACTACCGTCCTTCCGACGAACGGAGCATAGGACGATATCTGTTAGTTGGAAATAAAGAAAAAGTAACTTAAATGAAGAAATAACGTAATAAAGAAAAAGAAAGAAAAAAAATAGCCTTATTAGTTTGAAAGGCGGACGTCGTTATGTCCCGGCAGGTTGCTTGTCGAATCGTCGCTTGCGGGGTTGGAAAGAGAAAAACGAAGCGCAGGCATCTCTTTGATGGGCGTTCGTGCCTGCCGTAAAGAGAGAGCTCCACCCCCTCCCCTTCCCCCCCTCCACGCCTTTTCTACCCGCCCGATCGACCGCCTATTGTCGTAAAGTTCCCCTTGACGAATCAAAGGCCGGGCGGGCTATCTTCTCAGCCGGAGCTCTTCTGCCTCGGGAGTCGACTGCCGGCTGGGGCGAACCAGATACTATACGCAACACAATGCGGGCAGAACGGGGTTACGTGGCGGCGTTTTCTATGGCTACGCAGTCATTCAGAACCCGGAGAGCCCACATTGCGTGTCGTAGGCCTTCAATAGTGGAAAGTTTGGAAAGGGGGTTAATATAAAGGGTTATTCGTTATTTCTTGAACGGGCTGAAGTACACCATCGTTGTTTCAATGATTTTTCGTTCAGTCACTTTCGTTCATCACAAACTGACATTGTAGTTATCATGTGATGGTATGTAATCATATCAACATTTAATATTTGGGATAGACAGTGAAGTTGTTCTACAACGTACATTACCGTACAGCGCATGGGATGCCTATGCTCGTAAACGCAAATAGTAAATGAACAACGGACAGAGTATACCTAAAGCCAATTGTTAACGTTTTAGTGCTTCTGACAATATTGTATTGTATTTATTTATCATATGGGTTATTTGTGCGGAAACCGTATTGACCGTATTTTCGTTCCCATGCATTGTAGGCTTGCTTTGAAGCCTGCCCCCGGCATGAGTCTTAAGGGACGTTGCCGGCCCACACCTCTCACTTTCCCCGCCAGATATCGGTCCCGGATATGGTAAATGTCCGTATTACTGTAATCCCTTGCCGGGACCCCAAGTTTTGTTCGCGTTAAGCGAGTTGGTGCTAACGAGGGTTTGCCGTACCTCTACCGGAACTGAAGATTAAATTTTTTGTAACAGAAACTTTACGAAGTTGTCCTGCACATTTTCAGCTGAAAGTAAAGTATTTTATACTAATGTTATCATTAGGAACTATGAAAATACAATTGTACACGTCAAATAAGGTTATTTTAGGTTAATAATCTGAGCATGTCTCTAACAGGACAAGCATACATTCACTCGCCAGGGATCGCCACTGAAGGAGGGCAAAGGTCAGAGTTCACAGTTTCACGACCTGTACTTGGTAATGCGCGGGTGCGTGCGTGTGCATGCGTGTGTGTGTGTGTGTGTGTGTGTGTGTGTGTGTCGGAAGTGGATGAGCGTGGGCGTTGCGTTCATCTCCGGTTGGCCCCTCCCCGCCCCGTTCCTCCGCCCCGCTCCGCGCTCGCGCCGGGCGCCATCGATCTCCACGACTGCCGCCTGGCCGCCGCGCTCTCCGGCCGGGGCTGCTCAGCTTGACGCCCCCGCTGGCTCACACCGGCACGGCCCGCAGCCGGGCTTTTCAAGAGACGCCGCCGCCAAAGCCACCTGTCGCCAAAGCCGATGCTCTAGAAAAGAGGCGGTAAAAAGGATTTTATTAAAAAATCTGGGAGATTTACATGAAACCTCAACGACGTGAAACAACCTTATTAAATAAAAATATTATAAAATTATGTAAATAATGTAATGTAATTTTCATTTCCATTCTCGAAACTGCTGTAGAGGGATACTTGCGCATGGGAATATTATGTTGTAAATCAAGGGTTTGACATGCAGAAGAAAGCTGAAAATGGAAAGGGTGGCTATTCAGTGGGAATTAATAGCTTAATAGGCATGTACTTTATGTACGTAAGACTAACAAAAATCTAAATCCACCCCCACAAATCGTTTGGATATGTCCGTCTTAACGCAATGTTCAGCAAGTCAAACTGGACCTGTTTTAATTGAAGGTTGCCTATCCAAGAGGATTTGTATAAGGCTATGAAGTTCCTGTAAGATTGTTGCTTACATTCAAAATATTTCATTCCATATATTTGTGTTTCAAGACCCAAGCCTCTGCAAGTACTTCATCTAGGATGTACCATCAAAACTAAACTAGAATCTGATTCCTCTAGAAATCGTTCACTTTATATTTTTGCTCTTATAAACATCTCTCTTCATATCCTTTTTATAGACGATGTACTTGGCAAATGAATGAAGGAAGGTATGCCAAGTGGGTCACATGCTGTGAAACTAAACTCTTCACAAAGATAAATATTTTTGACCTGGATGAAAACAATGTGAGTAATGTGAAAGAATGGTGCTGCTGAGATTGAAGTCTTGGTGTGAAGGGGTTGAATACATATTATATTTTTCATTAGTTTTTGGTGAATATTCACTGTTATTAATTCCTTCATAAATTAGAAATGTTCATTTTTTAATAATTAATTAGCAGCTGTGGAGATTAAGACATTTTATTTACTTGATAATGCTCTTAGTATTTTTCTTTCTGTGCTAAAACAGAAAAACATGCTGTGCTGAGTATTGTTTGTTTGTTTTTTACTACATAATCCTGGAGAATTTGTTTATAAAAAAAGTCCTGGTTTCAAAATTATTGATTGATTAATATTACTTGATCCCTACTACAAAGTATATAAAGTAAGTTTTATATGACACCATAGGTTAGTTCTGTAGTTTCTTGGCCAGACAATATGCCTTTTCCCTTCAATTCACCGTGCATTGCAGTAGTAAGACATCTCTTTGCTGAAGAAGACTGTAACGTGGTTAGCTGAGTTATCATGTTTGAAGCCTATGAAGTCTCATGTTGAACAAGTTAAGGACAGTCTTGTTAGTACTCCTGTTGTAATAACAATCTTCAACAATAAGCGCTTCTTTTTTTGATAATCATTACTATACATGAATGTAGATTAATTGATTCCGAAGTGTTGAAATTTTGTTTATTATTCACCTTAAATTTATATTAAATATTTTTAATACAACTGTTTTCCATAAATGACACTTGCAAAACAATTGTCCAGAAACCTAAGTATATTTCAGTTAATGTTCAAGGTTAGAAGCCCTGTGTGCTATTCTTTTCTAGCAAGAACGTCCCCCCATCCCCCTAGTAAACTAGCCAAACATTCTTAAAAAAGAGGCCAGACTGCCCTGTTACCTGGCGCAAAGAGGTACTGCAAAGCCATCATCTTGTAATTGCGAGGCTCATCACCCTAAGTCAACACTCGGGAGGCACACAGAGACCATTTCCCAGGTAAACAAGCAACTCCCTTTCGCTGTCGAGAAGGTGCATCACAGCAGCTCCCGCCACTGGAAATGCTTTTGCAGAGGAAAAACCCCCCTGTTGAGTGGGGGTACACCCACCACCCAGCCCAACAAAGAGCTTTGTAGGACACTGGTGCGTAGTTTTGATTAATGCCTTCTTTAATGGTTTTGCCCTCTGGGTTGAGCCTCATGAGTGAGGAAACGGCGGACAGGAGTAGAGGGTAGATGAGGGTGAATGTGTCTGTAGGCTACAGGAAATGGGCTGTCCGCTCTGGGAAAGGGTGGTTTTAGCCCCTGTGCTCACTGCCGAGTCTGTTCTTGGGTGCTATTGGCTGCCTGTTGAAAGGTGTCCATTTGGTTTGGAAAGCTTGTTGAAGTTGTTTCCTTTTTCTTTCGTTTTTTTAGCCACAACATACTTCCTCCACTATGTGACTATTTACTTTTATTTTTACTAGAAACCTTTCCTCTGAACCTTATGAAATTATACATCATCTGGATATTTATATTAAATTTCCACTTTACAGTTTCTTTGCATTCGAAGGAAAGAATTTCATTTAAATTTTATTTTTATTCATGTCTTCAGTTTTGGTGATAAACTGTCAAGTTCCAAATGTGTATTTGCTGGTTAAATGCACCAATATTGTTTTTCCGATATATTATGTTTTAATTGTGAGTGGTGCTAGCACTGTGGAAGGACCTAGATTTACTTTACTTCTCAACCAATTTCCTTTTTATCTAAATGCTTCAGCAACTCCTTTGTTTTTGTTTTTTTCCTCTCTTACATTCTTAATCAATTTAACATTCTCATTCATCAAAGTTCACATTTCTATTTTTGTAAAGTACATATTATTTGAAGTAAATTTTAGTAACATTTGATCATTACTTCAAGTATAGTAACAATTTTAGAAAGATCATGAAGTATGTTTTTGATGTTTTGAACTGAAGATTGTAGTTTGCCTTTTTGTGTGTTGAATTTGCTGTTCTCACAAGCTAATGTAGAATATTTATTTGTTATTCCCTTATGATATATATTTTTCCATTTTTGTACATTTAATATATTATTATTTTTACAATTTCTATCTTTCCTACTTCTGCAATATGTCAGAATTGGCTGTTGATTTTAACTCTTACATATTCTTCAATTCTCCTTCACCGTCCTTACACATTTGAAACTTAGCATCTCAATCCTCAATATGTTGAAATTTTAATTATCTGTAAAGTTTGATTTTCATCTTAAGTTATGAGGTTTTGAGCTGCTCCTCATTCAAATCTTTTTCTCGTTGCAGATGAGAGAGAAAATGTGCAGAAGAAGACCTTTACCAAGTGGGTTAACTCACATCTGGTGCGAGTGTCATGTCGCATCGGAGACCTGTATGTTGACCTGCGAGATGGAAAGATGCTCCTCAAATTGTTGGAGGTGCTATCAGGAGAACGCTTGGTAAGTAGGTCGTATTTCTAGGTTCTTCTTTCTTATCAAGTCTTACCCATTTTTTAACATATCTTCAAAGTTCTCAAATTCTTTAATATTATTGTCGTATAATTTTCAATTTTTGAATGGACAGTTCCATTTTTTATCATCAAAAAAAGAATATGCTTCGTACAATTTCACGTTTTAGTGGTGCAGTATTAAAATAACAAGGATGGTAACTACATTTGAAATAGTAGGTTATATCTTTGTAGGAAATGATTTTTGTTGCTAATAATCAGTTTACTTGCTGCTGCGAAGTGTTCAAATTGAGGTTTAGGTACCTTCATTGTAAAGAATTGATGTGCATTGAATTTTAAAAAGTAACGTAAAAATTATTTCTTTTGACCTTTTATTACAACTTTCACTTAAAGAAAATTTTATTTATCACAAATAATTAGTTCTGTTGTCTACATATGCTGTTTTTGGATCACATCTATGAGAATCTTATCATTTCTACTCCCTGTTGGCAGTTTTGACTACGTTATTCTTATATTTATTCTGTGAATTTGTTGATCACAAAATCTTGTATGTTGCCTGTAGCCAAGGCCAACCAAGGGCAAGATGCGCATTCACTGCCTGGAGAATGTCGACAAGGCACTGCAGTTCCTGCGTGAGCAGCGCGTGCACCTGGAAAACATGGGGTCCCACGACATTGTGGACGGAAACCCCCGCCTCAGCTTGGGTCTCATCTGGACCATCATCCTGCGCTTCCAGGTGCGCTCTTTTTGAAGTCAACCTCATTTACATAGTTGCATTAGTCTGTTACATCAGTATATCATTCAAAGATGTCACGTTAATGTACATTCGGTTTTCTTATTATACAACAGAATATCTCAGTAAGCCAGAGCATGCCGGAGAAGTGATGATGTTTGTATGAGAATATTTAAAAAAAATACGGCACAAAGTGTAATTTGGTGCATGGTAGTGCTGCTGAATTTAACAAAATTCATTTGTATTTCCAGATCCAAGATATTACTATTGAAGAAACAGAAAATCAAGAAACGAAGAGCGCGAAGGATGCTCTACTCCTTTGGTGTCAAATGAAGACTGCTGGTTACCACAATGTAAACGTTCGTAACTTCACCACATCCTGGAGGGATGGCTTAGCTTTCAATGCCATCATCCACAAGCATAGACCTGACCTTGTGCAGTTTGAAAAACTGAGCAAATCAAATGCGATATATAACCTCAACAATGCTTTCAACGTGGCTGAAGAGAAGCTAGGCCTTACGAAATTGTTGGATGCTGAAGGTATGTGCATTCATGCATGTTTTAGGAGAGGGATTGTTTGTGTGAGGTGTGTAGAAAGATAATGACAGTGCTTCTTAGAAACTCGCCCAAAAATACTTAAAATGGTTGCGTGAAGAAGAAAATACAATTGGAAAAACTAAGCAATTTTAATGATTGGTAAATATATTCTAAGACATTCCACATGCTATTTCTTCCTTTGCTTAACAAGGAACATTATTGTGTTATAATAGTCTTGCTTGTTTTAGTTTCGGGTAGTCGTGAAAAGAAGGAATATTTTATGAGAGTTGTTCAGGAAAGTTAGAACTTTGAAAGAACATCTTTGTTTTAATGATTATTGTATTTTTAGAATTTTTTATGATCTTTGTTTCAATTTGTAGTTTCTCTAGACCAATTAAATAATATCTCTGTAATATTTCATTTGTCACTTGTATTAGTAGTAAGAAGTGGCGAGTTATTTATAATATCTTTGTTAATGAAAGATGATATATTAGTGTTGGGAGAATATGTGTATATTTCAGGAAACATTTTTTTGTTGCTCTTTGCATCCATCGTTAGTAAAAGCGTGTGGTGGCAAAGTAAAATAGTCCTGCCCCCAACCTCCACATACTTATACTGATATTGTATTTAATTGCGAATGAAAATGTGTTAGTGATATTTAAATTGAGTAATATCACACTGAAAAGTGATTTAAATATTTAATATATTTATTAAAGTATGAAATATTAAATTATAAAATCTCTTTCATATATTATAAATTGTGATCTGGTTTTGTGCAGATATCTTCGTGGAGCACCCAGATGAGAAATCCATAATCACCTATGTAGTCACTTATTACCACTACTTCAGTAAGATGAAGCAAGAGACAGTGCAGGGTAAGAGAATTGGCAAGGTGGTGGGTATTGCCATGGAGAATGACCGCATGGTCCAGGAGTACGAGTCGCTCACCAGCGATTTGCTGAGGTGGATTGAGGCCACCATCTCTGCGTTGGGAGAGAGGCAGTTTGCCAATTCGTTGGCTGGTGTGCAAACACAGTTGGCTCAGTTCAACACCTACAGAACTGTGGAGAAGCCACCAAAGTGAGTATTGTTCTTTGGGATTATAAACAGAAGTTTCTGGTGAAAGTGTAGAAAATGGTTTGTCATGAACAATTCTGCCTTGGTGTTGAATTCAGATGCCACTTCACTCTCAATAAAATTAATTAACTGGACTTTAATCTTGAAAATTACATATCTCAAGTTCTGAAGAAGCAACACATGAACCTACACCTTAACTGCAACAAATTTGGCATTTTCATTGAAAGTTGCAACTTCTATGAGTTTAACTGAATTATTTCCAAAAGTAATTCAAGGTAGTGGTGTTGCTAGTTTCAAATGCTTGTAAATATTCCTAAAATTTACTCACTTTTGTTCTTCTAAAAACTGATATGGTTCTCAAATAATAATGAGAATCTTTTACTGTTTTCATCAATTAATATTGAAATTTTCTCCTATGAATTAAATGACAAATTTAGAAAATTATTAATTATTTTGATGCTAATGGTACCTTTCACAGAATTGTTAATGCAACCCAGAAAGAGAGAGTACATTCATTTACAGTGTGTTTGTTATAGATTCATAACTAGTTCTGTAACTTGCAGGTGTGTATGTATGTCACTAATTTATTTAATTTTATCTTTCATAGATTTGTGGAAAAGGGCAATCTGGAAGTCCTTCTCTTCACATTACAATCTCGAATGAGAGCAAACAACCAGAAGCCATACACACCAAGGGAAGGAAAGATGATCTCCGACATCAACAAGGCTTGGGAGCGCCTGGAGAAAGCCGAACACGAGCGGGAACTTGCTCTGCGTGAAGAGCTCATCCGGCAGGAGAAGCTGGAACAACTGGCGGCACGATTCTCCCGCAAAGCGGGCATGCGAGAGACCTGGCTGTCAGAGAACCAGCGACTTGTGTCTCAGGTGAGGATTCGGATATCATGTACCTTATACACTCGAATATAACCAAGATATGTTTTTCAAAAATTGCTAGCTGAAAATTGGGGTGCAGGTATTATTTGAGTCAATGTTAGTACCACGAACATGAAACGTGTTGCCCATGGTCACACGGCTGGGTGGGTTATTTACATTGATGCTTGAGGGGGAAAATATGCATATTTTAAATTAGATAGCTACAAGGAAATTTAATTTGATCAAATTAAAACAATGCACACTTTTACGAGACTCGAAAGGTCAGTCATTCCTCCTTGTCTGATAATTGTATAATCTGGCATTGCTCTTGCCGTGAAAAAACAAAATATTTTTTAACGGAACCATGTTGTACATGAGAGAATAACCTCTCTTGAACTGCAATCTGTGTGTATGTCTTTTAACTGTATAAATGCATGGGTGATTTTGCACCCCCGCAAAGGGAAGGGTCATGAGCAGAACAGCTGACGCATGGTTTCACAACATGGATCTGTGGAAGCCTAAGTAAACAGGCAAACTGAACTGATAGATCTTTCTGTAATATCCCATCACCAGTCGATCTAATTGTCTTTCCTCCTCTTGGATAAAAGTGCATGACTTGCCACAGATGAAAGGTACAGTTGATAGAAGAAAGCTGAGAAATTGTTTTGCACAAATGCTAAGGATGGCTTGGGGAATGCTGTATTGGACTTGTTAGTTCAGTGAATGATAAATTATTTATTAATGTTATTGAGAGGATGGTATTTACTTATTTATTAATTTTATAAACTCAATGATACAATTCAATAATAAAGTTGTAAATTATTGAGATATTATGAGATACATGCATTACATGTGCCATATTGCAGGAACTGGAGCTATGTGACTGTTTGATTCCTTGCAATATTTTTTTAGAAAAAATATTTTCATATATGTAATTATTGTTTAAGTCTGTATATTGCTTCATGTGATATAATCAGTATTAATCAAATGGAACCACATTAAATTTGTTGGTTGTTGACAGGATAACTTTGGCTTTGATTTGGCGGCAGTGGAGGCAGCTGCCAAGAAACACGAGGCCATTGAGACTGATATCTTTGCCTATGAGGAAAGAGTGCAGGCAGTGGTGGCAGTCTCCCAGGAGTTGGAGGCTGAGAGCTACCATGACATTGACAGGATTAATGCCAGGTAAAACTTTTTATGTAATGATCTGGAATTCAAAAGAAATGTAATAGCTTGGTTATTAGATTTATGGAGATTATTAATTAATTCATTTACTCGTTTGTATGTGTGAGTTAAACTTTATTTTAGGGGTGTTTTACTTGCACTATTATGCGGATAATTTTATTTCTTCTTGAGTATAAATAAATTAATAAATAAGTAAAGGTTGTTAAGCATGAGAAGCAAACATTAATCTCAAACTTCCTTGCAGAAAATTCTATTTTACCTAATGTATGGGATGTAAAAGTGTAATATTGTACATATTTAATTTTTTAAAATTATTATAGATAATAATGAAATATTTAAATTGTTTTATTCTGAAAACTTCATTAAAGACAAACTGCGTGATTTTACTAAGTTAAACTTTGTGAGTTCTGTAAATCTGTTGATTTTTGTGCCACCATTTCTTCATATAGAAATTGCTGTTGTGAATAATTACAGAAAAGACAACGTCCTCCGGTTATGGAACTACCTGCTGGAGCTCCTCCGTGCACGCCGCATGAGGCTGGAGCTCTCGCTACAACTTCAGCAGAACTTCCAGGAAATGCTGTACATCTTGGACTCCATGGAGGAGCTGAAGCTACGATTGCTGTCAGACGACTACGGCAAGCATTTGATGGGTGTGGAAGACCTGCTCCAAAAGCACTCGCTGGTGGAGGCAGATATCAATGTGCTGGGTGAACGGGTGAAGGCGGTTGTGCAACAGTCACAACGGTTCCTGGATCAGGAGACAGCCGAGGGCTACAGACCGTGCGACCCGGCGATCATTGTCGAGCGAGTACAACAGTTGGAGGTAATAGGCTTGTTTTAGAATTGATTGTTCGTCTTAATGCAGAGGTTCCCAAATGAATTTGGCCTATGCCACTGGTTTTGAGAAAGGGTTTCCAGTGTCTTCTCTATCCTCTAGAAATCTTGCTTTATTAAGGGGACATCTTTTTATTTTCTTCTCTATGAACATTTCAATACTGCTTATAATAGAAAAAAAGTTCTCAAGAATTGTAAAATTTCTATTATGGTTACGTTATAATATTTATGGCATGGTTCAAGAAGGGACAATGTCAGTATTCAAAGTTTTATAGAATGAGTGGTTTTCTTAGAAAGGACAAAGTAATCATAGGCCTATGTAATCAATGTGAAATCAGGAGATAGGATCATGTTTTGGTTTTGATCTTTCCTACTCTGGACGAAAGGGTTTAAAAGCCGGTATTGGCCATACAAACCAAAAATCATGAGAAATTGAAATTGATCCTTCTTGCAACTAACCACCGATGTAGTTACATTTCTCTTAGGAAGTGGATTACATTGGCCAGTTAGGAAATTACTATATTATAATTGACTCCTTAAGTATTACAGTTTTGCAGTTAGGAATATATTTTTCAAAATGTTAATTGGTGCCATGATCTGTTCAGTCCAATACCTTCAATCCTTTGCAATTTCTTAGTTATTTTTTCAAGTGTTACATGAGTTACTGTAATTTAGTCGTAGCATTACACAGGTATTGTGTAAATTTTAGTGGTATGAATATTTTGTTCTTTCTAGGATGCGTACGCAGAGCTGGTAAAGTTGGCTGTGGAGCGCCGCGCTCGCTTGGAAGAGAGCCGCAAACTGTGGCAGTTTTATTGGGACATGGCGGATGAGGAGAACTGGATCAAGGAGAAGGAGCAGATTGTGTCGACTGGAGACATCGGTCATGACCTTACCACAATCAATCTTCTGCTCTCCAAGCATAAGGTAAGTTTGATCGTGCACAAGCATTTTCAAAGCTACAGGATTGATATGAACCTCTTGGTCCACGAAATTTTAAAGAGTGTAGATCATCATTATCACCATGAACAATGACTGCTCAGTACAATAAAGTTTGTTCTTTGGTTGTTTAGAAGATTCAAGAAATTATAACCACTTTTTCATGTTACTCCATCATGCAAAATATTCTCTACAATTCGCTTTACAAAAATGCAATCATCAGTTCTTAATAATGCTCATCAGACCACATTTTGTAACTATCACAGGCAGAGGCTTGGAAACTTGGCTACTAAAAAAACAAAATAGTTTCAGATTATTGGAAATCAATATATTTTTCAAAAATGTTGGCGTATGAAATTGATCTTTAAGTCATTTATGTGCAACTCTTCTGCAAAATCAATTGGTGAAATAAAATTTGTTTCTTTGATGGAGGTAATACATATTTTGGTGATAATTTTTCTCAGTTGAAACATGATTTATTAATTGTGTTAACAGAATTATATTTTATTCATGCTGAACTAAATTTCTCATCACATTGACTTAGAATGTTTGGAGATTTTTTAATTATTTTGACATTTGTAATGTGTTATTTACTTAGTAGTTATAAAACTGATGACATTATGTGCTTGCAGTTCTTTTAAGAAAGTAAAATATAATGTTGTATAACATATTGTATGTGTTCAGGCTCTGGAGAACGAGATTGGCTCTCATGAGGGGCAGTTGATGTCCGTGGTAGCTGTTGGAGATGATCTGGTACGCCAACAGCACTTCGGTGCCGACCGCATACAGGAGCGCCTGCAGGAGATCTTGGGCATGTGGAGCAACTTGTTAGGGCAGGCAGCTTTCCGCCGGAAGCGTCTCGAGGAAGCTGTCGACTTCCACCAGGTGTGTATTTATGGAATTACCAAGGGTAATGAATGGAATAAAGCGACATTTAACTGTCTAATACAGAATATCTTCAGATGGCTTTTTCGTTGGCCCCATGACTATTTACAAGAAGCCACACCTAGTTATTAGATTTTCCTGTGAGCATTGGGGTACCGTGTGGAGCCATACAAGCCATGAGGTAGCCATAGCAGAGCACTAAGCTTGCTACTTGGTAGTGCATTGATTAATGCAGTCTCTTTAACTGTACATCCATTGAAATACTACCATGCTGAAACTAGGCTCTGAATTTGAAGGGTTAATCAGTGGGTGGAGTTCAAGCAATAGGTATTCAATAGTAAATTTCAAAAAATATTATTTCAGAGAGTAAGTTATTCCTTTACGAGATATATTGTATTTTCTAGAAATCAATTTATTTTTAATGAATTTTCTTTTTAAAAAATGTGAGTGAGAAAAATGATACTAGTTTTTTAAAGCTGTGGTATATTTCACTTGGGTTTATCATTCTACCAGTAGAAATTAGGATTGAGATTTATTGTAATATAAGAAATTGAATATTTCAGAACTGAACTTTTGATTATAGTATTATGAATATCGGTTTATAATTGGTTCACGATTGTATTTTCATAGTAAGTGCTTGGGTGTGAAAAGTTCTAAATTTTGTTTGCTTTCCAGTTCTTCGCAGATGCAGATGACGTGGACATCTGGATGCTGGACACCTTGCGCTTGGTGTCGAGTGAAGATGTTGGGCGTGATGAGGCCAACGTTCAATCCCTGCTTAAGAAGCACAAGGAAGTGACGGACGAACTGAAAAACTATGCCTCCACAATCGAGGCTTTGCATCAACAAGCCCAAGCACTAGGAGAGCAGGATCGCCAATCATCAGTGGTAAGAGGCGCCTAGATAAAATCTAGATTAAATCTGATTGTTGGTGGAATAACATCGCTAAAACCACGGACCATGAAGAAGTACAGTTATAAGGTGAAACGCTTTTCGGTGTTTTGCAGGTGGTTGAACGTCTTGCCAGCATCGATCACCGCTACAAGGAGCTTCTTGAGCTTGCCAAGTTGCGCAAGCAGAGACTGCTCGATGCTCTGTCGCTGTACAAGCTGCTGTCAGAGTCCGATGGAGTTGAGCAATGGATTGGAGAAAAGGTTTGTCTGATGATAAATCTGTATTTTCCCTGATATGTTAGAAAAAACTTTTTTTTTTTTTTTTTATTTCTTGTAAATTCAAAGCATAAGTTAACATGATTGCTGAAATGTGAAAGTAGAAAAATTGGAGTTACTGCACAAGATTTACTTGGTTCTTCGGAAGCAGAAATTTCCATGAAAAATTATATTTAATTAGTTAATAAATGCTGTTGTGAGCTTAAACGAAATGTAATCTTGGTTAAACTGTTTATTTAATAATTTTATTTATTTAAAACAACAGTTATAAATTTAATATTCTATTTTACAAAATAGATTTACTAACCATGCGTAAGTGCTAAAAATAAAGTTGTAAAAGAGGTAATTAAAATTCATAGGTTAGTTAATTGTTTTTGATCCTCTTGTAAAGTTACATTACATGCCAACTAGTACAGGATTGAAAAACCAGTGTGTATCAAAATCATAGGCTGAACACACAGTACAATTTAATGTAGAATCTATTTGAGGTGTTCCATTCCAAAGTAGTATGTTTGTTAGGGAATCTAGAATTTGTAATACAGTGAAAATGAACTTTTCAGCTCTTTAAAATCTTTCTTTTATTCTGTATAGGATCGAATGCTCCAGACCATGGTGCCAGCTAAGGATATTGAAGATGTTGAGATCATGAAGCACCGTTATGATGGATTTGAGAAGGAGATGAATGCCAATGCGTCACGGGTGGCTGTTGTCAATCAGCTGGCTCGCCAGTTGCTGCATGTAGAACATCCCAACTCAGAACAAATTGTGGCTCGTCAGAATCAGGCAAGTAGCTTTCAGAATACGAGTGGAAATTAAGGGAAAGAAGGAAAAGGGGTAAAAATAAAATATAATTTTTAAAAAATGAAGGTTTTGTGAATACATCGTACTGTGCCAAAATGTCTTGGATAAATGGAGATTGTAAGATAATGTGAATTATTCTACTAATGATATAATATTGTAAAAGTGAAATTTCTTTCTTGCTCGTAATTTTTATATTGCTGATTACTATAATGTATAAATAATTCAAATAGCATTTATTACTTACTTTCCTTACCAAGGTTTTACATAGTAAGGAGAAAGTATTTTAATACTGTGACCAATATAAGCAATTTTTTGATAGAGAAACTCTTTATTGTGTGGCCTTGATATATCAAAAAAGTAGATATATCTTGGTCCTATTTCACCTTCCTCCTTTATCACGTGTGGTCAAAATTCACTTTTTGTGGGTCCTTAATATCATAAGATTAGTTGATGGCTAAACGTCTGTCTGTGGTCAACTGAAGCAGCAACAGTTCAGACTATTTTCTCCAAAATTGATTTTCCCTGGTATGTCTGGCCGAACTTGATGTCCTGCAAGTTTGAAATGCATATTTTGATTTTTGGGTGTTCTTTACATGAACCTGTAACGTTATCATAATTTTCTCACAAATGCCTCCAATTTTTTTTATTAAACTTCTTCCTCAAGTACGGCAAACAACACTTCACAAAAAGATGACCACGGTCTACCAGCACAGAAAATCTATTGACTCCGGCCGTGAAAGCCCACAATACTCTATAATGTAGCCTATGTCATTTTGATTACTGTTAATCGGTAATCAGTGGTCATTGCATATAAATTTTGATGTTTTGTGGTGAAATTTCATGTAATATAGATGTTTTCAAGTCTTTGTACGTTAGAGCATTCCTGGTTGTGCTGGCTTTGGTATTGTTACAGTAAATATTGTCTTTTTCAGTTGAACCACGAATGGGCCGAACTCCGGGAAAAGGCTGAGGCCAAGCGTGAAGAACTCAGCTCTGCCCATGGAGTGCAGACCTTCCACATCGAGTGCCGAGAGACACTCAGCTGGATCGAGGACAAGAAACGCATCCTCCAGGCCACAGACTCTCTGGAGATGGACCTCACTGGCATAATGACTTTGCAGGTACTCTCAGCTGCCAAATGGCTCTACACGTTCTTTCACCTAGCTCTGAAATATTTTGATTATTTAGTTCCGTTTAATGTTACAGTTCGTTGTCAAAATGTCACTAACAGGATCATGGTTCACTCGAGAAAGAGTGAAACATTCATTCCTTGAGATGTAATTTCAATTTGTAATTGTATACATATGCTAAAAATCAGTTAATTGTTTTTTAATGAGATGTAAAGACAAGCCCTTGAGAGACATTTAGTGTCATTTTATTCAAAATATGATTTTTCAATGATTTAATAAGGTGATTTCTAATAGAAAATTCTAATGGAATGTTAATTTAGCAGAATCAAAATTTGAATGTTTTGTCCATCTAAACATTCATTTTGTCTGACAACTTATGATTAGAATATATCGGCTATAATTAAATAATGTTTTAATATCCACATAATTTAGTTTTTTTTAACTAAAAGAGCATCCTGTTTTGAGAATTGTTCTTGTGGAGTGTTCTTGGGCTTTCATATGTATTCTTTCTGCTAAGCATAATTTTTATTAACTTTCTTTCTCTTTAGAAAATACCCATTTATTATAGAAATTACCAATCTATTAGTAGCAAGGGTCAACTAAATAATAATGTTGTGTTGTAGCGGCGACTGTCAGGCATGGAGCGCGATCTGGCCGCAATCCAAGCAAAACTGGACTCGCTAGAGCAAGAAGCTGAGAGCATTGGCACAGAGCACCCAGAAGAAGCTGCCGTTATCAGAGAACGCATCACATCTATCCAGGTCATCTGGGAGCAACTTACCCAGATGGTGAGTGCTGAATGCACCAGGCTTCCCTTGCCCTTGCTAATTTTGGAGGGTCACAAAAGTTTAGGTTTCATACATTGAAAAATAAAACTAATTTGTAAACATGTTCTAAGAAATAAAGAGAACTGAGGTATTTTCTTGAGATATCTTTGGGATCGAAAAGGGTTGGGGAAAAAAAAAAAAATTAGTTTCACGACCACAAAAAATCAATGGCAAAATCTGTAGGAAAATAATGGTTTTGGACAATGCATTAAAGAACTGTAGAATGTATACATCATAAAATCTTTTTTTTAATCTCTTGAAAAATTCTTTTTCATATAAAATGTCTTTCGGCATGTGATGTAGCAAGTGGTTTTTGTTAACTTTTTTGCATTTAAACTAGTTTTTAAAACTCATTTAGGTATATTTTTGAATCATTTCATTATTTTAAGTAGCACTTAAACAGCTGGCCATTAACATAATTCAGTCTTTCTTTTTTTTTATGTAATAAGATAAATTGAGGAGAATATTCATCCTTTGTACTCAAATAGTTGCCTAAAATCATAAAAGAATGTAATATTTGAAGGATTTTCAAAATTTGTTAGGACATTTATTTTCTTATCAAGGAATATAGGCTGTGACATATTATTGTTTCTAGGTATAAATTTGTTAACTACATTCCTCGCTTCTCAGAGCTTCTGTTTTTAAGTTTCTCAAAATTAATATGTACAATGTTTCTCTGTTTTCAGCTCAAAGAACGGGATTCAAAACTGGAGGAAGCTGGAGATTTGCATCGCTTCCTACGCGACCTGGATCACTTCCAGGCATGGCTTACCAAGACTCAAACGGATGTTGCTTCCGAAGACACTCCAGCCTCTCTCGCTGAGGCTGAAAAATTGCTGGCGCAACATGGGTCCATTCGCGAGGAGATCGATAATTATAGAGATGACTACCATAAGATGATGGAGTATGGTGAACGTATTACTGCTGTAAGTATAAAGCTGATTTTAAAAAATCTAGCAGTGAGAAATTTTGACTAACAATTGTTTGTTGATGTAGTTTATGAATTGCTAAAAGTTCTGATGACGAGATTGAAAAGGAAAGAAAATTATAGGCATTTAACAACACTTGTAAATTTTATAATATTAGATAAGTAGAAAATACAGACTATGATATTTAAGTAATTTTCGAAAAACTATACATGAACTTACTGAAGTGGAGCTTTTAAATATTCATATATCTTTTATAATTCTTGTAAATTTCTTTATCCATATTATCACCAGTGAAATGTATTTAACCCGCCAAACTTCTGTTTTCAGGAGCCATCGACGCAAGATGACCCGCAATACATGTTCCTGCGTGAGCGCTTGAAGGCTCTGCGCGATGGCTGGGAGGAGCTGCACCAGATGTGGGAGAACCGTCAGGCTCTCCTCTCACAGTCCCTCAACCTGCAAATGTTCAACCGTGATGCAAAGCAGGCTGAAGTGTTATTGGCACAACAAGAGCACATTCTCAGCAAGGATGAGATTCCTGTCAACTTGGAACAAGCGGAGAACCTTATCAAGAGGCACGAGGCCTTCCTTACAACAGTGGAGGCCAACGATGACAAGATCAACAGTGTAGTACAGTTTGCCCAACGGCTGTGCGATGAGGGACACTATGCAGGTGAGTCCTTCTTTGAAAGAGCTACAGTTTATTAGGGATGAAGAATCAGTACATTAAATATGTGAGAGCAAAAAAATTGATTACAAATTTTAATGTAATCATCCTTTTTCCATCCAAGCTAATAATAAAGACTTGGAAATATCTTTCTTGTAAATAATTGTAAAACTTTTGTGATTAATTTAATATTAATACATTAAACATGAAACATTTTCATTCTTTCTCCAGCTAAAATTAGAATATTTATCACTAGGATTTTGCTAAAAGAGAAATCATAGATGGCAAATTGTAGGAAACTAATTATTGAGGATTCACAAGTGTTTCAATACTTACATTGCAATTCAGTCTACAGTATCCTCTGTTCATGGCTGGTTAAGTATTTGTAGTTTTCCCTGATAGTTAATTGACTAGAAAAAGAGTGACTCTGTTTATTGTCATATGTTTCATAAAAAGAGTTTAATACAGAGTTGTGACCCTAGATACTACATTTTGGTCAAAGGAATATTTTAGTTCTTTTACCGTAAACCAGAATACACATGTGTGTTTGTTCCTTATAAAAGTTTACTTGTTTACAGCTGACAAAGTCTCGAAGAAAGCTGATAACATCAATGATCGTCGCAACGCCAACCGAGAGAGAGCCTTGGAGCAGATGGAGCGTCTGAAAGATCAGCTGCAGCTTCACCAGTTCCTACAGGTAAGAGATCGGATTGTCAGCTTCTCAGGAGAATTAATTTTCTGTTTTCTGAATGGACTACAAGGCAACCGTGGGCCATAAATGACACTTTAGTACTCTCTCTTAGGGTAATGCGAGCCTCTGACTGATGCACCATAATTGTATTAAAGTGTATGCTTTAATTTTAATGACAAGCTTTATTTAACATACATACTTTTTAGACCTTGGAAACTATATTAGGAGTGTTTCTTCTGTTCTAGGAGTAGAGTAGTATTATATTTATTGGTATGCCCCATCACTGATTTTGAAATTCTGTTTATTTCCAAGTATTCTTCATTCTTATTTTTTCAAAAATTTCTGAAATAATTGTATCTGTAGTGAAAGTGTTTCTCACATCTTGTTAATTGTTAAGTGAAAATGTTTGTTTTGGTTAAATTAAATAGAATAAGAAACAATGCATATTTTTTTAAAGAAACCCTTATTATAGAAGAATATCTTGTTTGCCTGCAGGATTGCGAGGAATTGAGTGAATGGGTGCAGGAGAAGAAGTTCACTGCCCAAGATGAAACCTACCGCAGTGCTAAGACCGTGCACAGCAAGTGGACTCGCCACCAGGCCTTCGAGGCTGAGATTGCTTCCAACAAGGATCGCCTCTTCCGCATCAAACAGGTGAGTTGTTGCTGCTACTTAGCTCAACGAGTGTTGATGACGTGTAAATTGGTGTAGAATAATAATGGAACAGAATTGCCTTAATTTGTATCGGAAACAACATCAAATAATATAAATAAAATAATCATTACCTTATCAATTCAAATCTTTTTAATATCTGGATGTTTCAAAGTACCTTTTGTAAGAATGTTCTGAAAGGATGGTGAATGTTTAATTTTATACTTCGATATAATGAGGTTACATTAGTTTTATATATTGGGACTTGTAAATTTCAGGATTATGTTACTTCTTTAGTGAATATTACAGGGTTAAGCAATTCCTGTAATTCGTCTTTTAAAAGAGTGACAATAGCTGTTAACAACAATATGTTCACTGCGATTTGTTTCTAATAGAATGTGAAACAACTTACAAATTGATTTCATAGATGTAACTGGAACAACAATACTTAGATGTTTGATGAAGTAAGATAGTGTTATTTCTAGTGAAGTTTCAAAATTGTTCAACCATCTGCTTGGCTTCAGGCGGCGGATGAGCTGATCAAGGAAAAGCCTGAACTGGCCGATGTGGTAGAGCCACGCATTGCTGAGCTAGGCCAGCAGTTCAGCGACCTGGAGACCATCACTAAAGACAAGGGTGAGCGTCTGTTCGATGCCAACCGAGAAGTCCTGCTTCACCAGACATGTGATGACATTGACACGTGGATGAACGAACTTGAGAAGCAGATAGAATCTGAGGACACTGGCAGTGATTTGGCATCTGTGAACATCCTTATGCAGAAACAACAGGTAAGAACCAATTTTTTGACACCAAAGAATAGGAATTATGACACTTTCCCAAGAGTGCATCTTCAAATTGTTGCTCAGAGCGAGTATGTGCTGTCATCCTAAGTAAATTAAGGCAGCCTACCAGGCAGATGCATTAAATTATCCATATAATCTTGAATAATGTAGTAAAAGCATGCAAGGTTATTAATGTTGCATTAATGCTTATTTTCCAGATGATAGAAACCCAGATGGCCGTGAAGGCTCGCCAAGTGTCGGAGCTAGAGACTCAGGCAGAAATCCTGCAGCGCACTGCCCCAGAGAAGCTGGATGGGATCAAGACCAAGAAGCAGCAGGTGGAGGAGCGCTTCGAGCAGCTGAAGGCACCTCTGCTGGAGCGCCAGGTGCAACTGGAGAAGAAGAAGGAAGCCTTCCAGGTCAGACACGTTCACCTAAAGTGTGCCAGGAAGTCTTTTCGCTCTGGCACCTTGCTGGCGAGAGTGCTAGCAATAAAATTAGCTTGGTAGCACGAGCTACAGCTTGTAACAAAAGAAAACTTATATTGCATACTCACCTCAATCATAACAGATACTGGAAGTTTGGTCCCCTTCACTTATTTCTCTCCCTGATTTCCAACAACATGTAACACAATCTTCCTTCATCTACGTGAGCATTCCATTTTAGATCCCTTTCCTGACTTCATTCAAAATTGAGTTAAATTTTACTTTGTTTTAAAACTTTTCAAAATTAAAATCATGATGCATTTTTGAAGAATTGGAACTTTATCAATAGTTCCATTTATAATCAATTTTATTATGTATCGTGAGAATATTATTTTTTTGCTTTCGAACTCTCCAGTCTATTGATTTTCATCATTTTGTGTGAGACTGAACTAAATATGCCTGCTGCTCAATTTTCTGGCAATTCATTTGAGCTTTGATTACTTGGAACTGAAGAGAGAACAAATTTCTTAGAATTGTATAGGCTTTAAGTTTATAAAGTGAATGGAAGCTACGCAGGTTAGTGAATCTTTAGTTTAGCAAATTCTTGGTGTAGTTAAAATTTAGTTACCTGAAAATATGCCATTTTGGGAATGATCGTAATTCAGAATAGATGAGTTCAATTAACACCCCACCTCAAACAACAGCTTGTGTACGAAGGTGATTCTAATTCTGATGATAATTTTTTGTAATCACAATGGTGAAAATATTTTTGAATTACCAAAATGTCTTTCATACTTTGGGGGAATATGGCTTGAAAAATGCAAATTATGTAAGTGTAACTATAACTACACAACTTGCGCAATTATGTTGTAATCTAATGCAAATGATATGTTTTTTCAAAAACTTATCTTTGATTTGTTACCTGTAATTCATAATTTTATGACTGGTTCTAGTTGTTAATACTAAGAGAGAGTTGGAGCAGTTAAAAGTGGACAGGGAAGCTCCACTTTTTAGATGAAGACCTGAACTAAGAAATTGAAATTGTTAAACAAGTTTTATTTGTAAATTTTTAATTAAATTTCTAAAGCACAAGGGGTGAAAGAATTCTAAATCTAATCGAGTCTGTGTACTGAGTGATGTTTTGTTATATTACTCCTCCGGGTGAAAACAAGAATGAAAAGTTGGGCTTTTATTAACAAAGGTTTTGGATTCTAGAAAATCGGATGTTGTAGGGGAAGGGGAAAAATTACGAAATTTTTAGCTTTTGTATAACCACAGATGCAGATGCCAAATTGATTCCCAGCTGGAGTACAATCGACCTCCCTGTCCATCTGCAGTGCCCTGAAGGAATAAGTATAGGGCGCAGGTTTTTCCCTTTTGTCAGTTTCCTGGTGCCCTTCTTCTGGTGACACCAATAGGTCAGTGTGTGACCTTTTCTCCTGTTTAATCCAACGTGGACTGTGGGGCTCCTGAGTCCAAAAAGTTGGCAGGGTGCCCTGTGCCTGCGTATGGGTCACGTTGGCATTTGGGCAGAATCCTTCCCCCCTCTACCTTTCCCCTGTGGCCAACCACACAGTAGTTCTGCAGCGTGCTGCAGCAAGAAAGGAAAGATGGACGCTGATATGGATCTTGATCTTGATCTCGATTATGATTTGGAGTTGAACTATGATCCCAGTGTGCCTTACAGAAACCCCTATGTGTGTCTTATGTATGGACAGGTAATAACTTCAGAGTATAAAGTGTTAAAGACATTTTTGCCTAATTCAAATTTTCTGTACACAGTGATAATGTATTTAAACAGAGTGTAAATATAACCTAATAGAAGGGAAGGCTAAGTCACTGGTGTTTACACTTGTTAAACAACAAAAAATCTTGTGTAGTAAATTGTGTTCATTGTGGCTTTTTTTCTCTCCGAAGATGTGAAATGTGTTTTTATGAAATTGTCTTGCTAAAATCACATAGCTGTGTTGAGATTTTTATGTTCTTTAAAGCAGTTTCATAGTTTGATATTGTAGTATTATAAGAGCTAAGTTTATGATTATTTTGGAATATTTTTAATGTGGAAATGAGGGATTTTCTTGGAGTATTTAATGTACTTTTATCCCCTAGAGTTAATTGATTCCAAACTTACTATATTTATTATTTATTTTGGAAGAGATGCATATTGAGGAGAATCGTTTGTCACGTCACTGAAAAACATAATCTCGTACATTTCAGTTCCGCCGAGATGTGGAGGATGAAAAGCTCTGGATCTCGGAGAAGATGCCCCAAGCTACATCGACAGACTATGGCAACAGTTTGTTCAATGTTCATATGTTGAAGAAGAAGAACCAGGTGAGTTTTCCACTACAAGTAATCGCTAACTTATTTATTGCATCCAATTTTTCTTTTCTTTTTCCTGTGTAATTTACTTTGTTTTCTTTTGATAAAGGTTTTCTGTAAATAGTTTTTTTTTATTTAATTTCCCTTTTCTACCTTCATTTATTATTATTATCATTATTAATATTAGTCTTTACTTTCTTCTCTCTCTTTTTTTTCCTTTCTTTCTTTCTTTCTTTTTTCTTCAGTCTTTTCTGCCATTCTTCTTTCATGTAATGTTCTTCACCTTGTAACATTTTTTCTTTTCTTTCCCTATTTGTTGATTGTCTGAAATTCAGCTATTCTATGTTTTGCCATTGCTGTGGTTAATTACATTAAATTTTTTTATTTTATCTTCAGTCTCTTCGCACCGAAATTGACAATCATGAGCCAAGAGTTGTTCTGGTCTGCTCCAACGGCCAGAAACTCATTGATGAAGGGCATGAAGCCGCACCAGAATTCCAAGCACTTATTGAGGAACTCCAGTCACGCTGGCAGGAGCTTAAGGAGGCTGTGGAGGAGAGGCGCAACAAGTTGTTGCAGTCTGAACGCGCACAGCAGGTCAGTTCTGCTGTTACGATTGTTTGGCGAAATATGTTTATTTAACTTGCACTTGAGTAAGTTTATACATTTTAACATCGCAAAGTTGTATAAAAGACATTATGTTCAGCACCGTGAAAAAATGCGAATACTTTCCAAGTATGAAAAAAAAGACTTAAATGGACAGAAACATGGTTAAAATTTCATCATTGCAGGACTAAAATTTTCATAAATTACCAAAGCATTGTTTCTTAAACATAATAATAATAATCTTTAGAAAAAAATAAATATTTTGTAGAAAGAAAAAATAATTTTTTCAACAAAAGATGCCCTACTACAGCTAGATAATAGTATTCAAACATTGATATGAAAATAATTATTTGTAATTCTATGCATTTGCTTAAGAAGTAGTGATAATGACTTGCTTTTCTTTTTGCAGTATTTCTTCGATGCCAGTGAAGCGGAATCATGGATGAGTGAACAGGAGCTCTACATGATGGTGGAAGATCGAGGCAAGGACGAGATTTCTGCCCAGAACCTTATGAAGAAACATGAGACATTGGAACTTGCTGTGGAGGACTATGCTGAAACCATCCGGCAATTGGGAGAAGCTGCGAGACAACTGACAGCGGAACAGCACCCAGACAGGTTAGCTCATGCTTTAGTATTGAGTTTCTATACACTTGAAGAAAAGAAGACTATTTCTATTATCTATGTCTATAATTTATAATATACTGGAAGATTATGGTTTGAATGTTTTCATACATTTATGATAATTTTTGTAACATTTAACTTAAAAAGGACCTTGGAAATAGTGTTTTAATGATAGTAAAATAAAACTTTTTTTATTCTACCAATAAGACCCAATTTGTTTTTAATTTGGTAATCAGTTATCGATAAAATTTTAATTTTCTCTGAATTTTGCTTTTTATATGGAAACACTTTACATAGTTTAATTTGCTTAAATCTGATCCCTCAGTTTTGTATGTACTTGATTGTCAGAGACTTTTTATTACAGCAGATTAAACAAACTGTTACAATTAAGTAAATTAAACAATTCTGCTTTTTGTTCTTCATAAGGATATGGTTAAGGTATTGCTTTTAATTGACTTAAGTGATATGTCAAGGTGTTCTGACCGTTAAATTTCTTTTAAATTGCTCTCCTTCCTGTGTATTCAAATACAGCCACTTATTTGAAGTCTGTTTTTAGCCAACTCACTGGATCAGTTTCCTTTACAGTGATGCGATAGCTGTGAAGCAGTCCCAAGTAGACAAGTTGTACGCCGGTCTGAAGGATCTGGCTGGAGAAAGGCGAGCGAAGCTCGATGAGTCTCTCCAGAAGTTCATGCTCCAGAGAGAGGTGGATGACTTGCAACAATGGATTGACCAACGGGAAGTTGTCGCAGGTTCCACTGAGCTGGGACAAGATTATGATCATGTCACAGTAAGTCTCATTTGTACATGGTTGATGTTAAAGTTTCAACAGACACTGGTCAATTAGAAAACCAACAACTGAACTGCCTTTCAGAATTATTATTAAAGTTCTTTAATTTTCCATGACAAGTGTAACATTTCCTCACTAAGCGTTGTGTACTTGATGTGGCACAGAGTTTGATGAAGGAGGGGGCTTATTGTGGTAACATTTGAGATATAAATTAAATTTAATACATTAAGCCCAAGTTCAAGACCATTGAACATCCGGCTTTGAATTTGTGCTGTCATGGGAAAAATGTAAAGGGTGAAAAAATTTAATTTTGACAGTGTAAATGTGGAAACAATTGTATGTTGTAAACTTCAGAAAATTGAAGGGACCAGGGGAAAATGACATAAATGTTGATGTATTTCACCTGTAAACATAAATTCCAGGAATGTAAAAACAGAGTTTTATTGTTCTAATGAGTTGTTAATCCTTTGCAGCTTCTATCTGAGAGATTTAAGGAGTTTGCTCGTGACACAGAAGCCATTGGTAGCGAGCGTCTGGCAGCTGTGAATAGCATTGCTGACCAGCTGATCAGCGCTGGTCACTCTGATTCTGCTGAGATTGCCCAATGGAAGGACTCTCTTAATGACAACTGGCAAGATCTTCTCGAACAAATTGAGACACGTATACAGGTAAGTTTTAGAGTGCAATTGACAGGTTAGGATATTCCCATTTCCATCTCAGTGCCAAGGCAATATGTTTCAGAAACCTTGGTTATTTTATGTTTTATTAAAGCTTGAGAGGAATCCTTCAAATCGTTTGTTCTTTATGGTGGTTCCTAAGGTGTTGTCAAGAAATTTGTTTCTTCACATAATACTATAGATTTCTTAAGTCTCCTATGTAAGGTGTTAATAAGGGGGTGATTATTAATCGATAAACTTAAGAATATTTTCCCATATAATTCAGTCTTTCTTCAACATTATTCCTTTGAATTTCGTGGCAAGTCAAAAGTTGAACAAGTCTAATAAAATATTAATATTTCTAGGATATTTAATACTAAGTGAAATAAATAAGTGTTGTTTTAATGGTCTGAAATACTCTATTTATTTTTAATTGCAGACTATTAGTCTATTTTTACATAGTTAATATATTAAAATTTATTATATTTATTATATTTATATTATTATTATTATTATATACTATATTTTCATTTAATGAAAACATTATAGTATAATATAGTATATACAACAATAAAAGGGAAAGAACAAAAGGAAACAAAAGTAGTCAAAATATGCCAAGCCACAGATATGATTGGCATAAACAAAGATTATGCACATATCATATTCACAAGAAAATAGAGATTAATAAAATAACAGATATCAGATAATTGTCGTAAAAGCGATTATGATAAATGTTAATATAACAGTATAAAAGAAGAGGAAAATTTGTATTTTATTCTTAAATATACATAATCATCAAGGCAGCAATAATCACAACCAAAATAATCGACAAGTGTTAGCCTACATCTACTGGTTTGATGGAAATTGATATAAAACAAGAAAAGAGTGAAATAGACAATCAAGACTTGTGCAGCAAAATGCTAGAGACTGTACCAACCAAAGATAACAGAAAGTATAACTGAAAATAATTAGAGAACATTCAATTATATTTAAAGATGCAAGGGTTTAGTTTATTTAATAGTTAGCAATAGTTGGTTTTCTTTTCTTTTTTTAATTTATAATTAATGTACTTTTTTGTTTCTCGGTTTTATTAGGCACTTTACAATTCAGTAGATTCAGCAAATTAGGGCAGTCTATTGAGCCATTCAGTAGAAACATTTTTAAGCATTGGGTACTTGTGCAGATTTCAGATTACAAATTATGTATTTTAATTTTATTTAATTTATTTATTTAATTGAATTTGTGTAACTGAGGAAGGCCAGGGAAATTTATTTCAGGAAAGGATTAACTACTCTGTATTAAAAGCTTATAATTAATTAATTTTGTGCTCAGATGTTGGCTGCGTCTCGAGAGCTGCACAAGTTCTTCCACGACTGCAAGGATGTGCTGGGCCGCATCTTGGAGAAGCAGCACTCCATGTCAGATGAGCTGGGAAGGGACCCTGGCTCTGTGTCAGCCCTGCAACGCAAGCACCAGGGTTTCCTGCAGGATCTTCAGACCCTGCAGACACAGGTAAGGAAAGCTTGGATTGATATAGTATTTTCACTTTAAGATTTGAAAGTCTGTTAAAAGTTTAGAATTGATTTGTCAGCCTCCAAATATTTTGTGCAATTTTTGGAAAAAAAATTTGCAAGTGTTCGAAACAGTTTATTTGAGACTACATGATGTAATTTAATGTACTTTATCTCAACCCCTTTACAAAAGTAACTGAAAGGTTCACAAGTGAACCACTACATTAAGCTTCATCGTTTGTGTCCATTATAAGTATTAACCAAAAACTTGTCTATTATTCTGAATATCCATTAAATGTAAAATAATTAACAAAGTTCTAGAATAATATGTAAATTTTACGAACTAACAAACATTTACTAAAAGGTAACTAAATGAGTATCATTATTAACTTACAAGTATCATAATCCTTCTTTTCTGTATAAGGCTACCTTCAAATACAATCATGTAATAACAAGTTTTAATATCACTGAAAACAATTCACTGGGGGCATTATTAAGAACAACTCCTTTTAGAGAATTTAAGTCTGTGATTTGCCGAATTAACGAAACTTTTACTGTGTATTTCAGGTCCAACAGGTGCAAGAGGAGTCAGCCAAGTTGTTGGTGTCGTACGCCCACGACAAGGCTAAGGAAATCACCAACAGGGAGGCAGAGGTGGTAACTGCCTGGCACAACCTGCAGGGCCTGTGCGATGCTCGGCGTCAGAAATTGGCTGACACCGGTGATCTCTTCAAGTTCTTTAGCATGGTGCGCACGCTAATGCTCTGGATGGATGATGTTGCGCGACAGATGAACACATCTGAAAAACCGAGGTAAAATCTGTGACTAATCTGCTGATTTGTTTGGATATTGTGGGATATTGCAATAATCGCCTCTGTTTACCAGTTTTTTTAAAAACCTACAATTTAAAGATTTACAGCCATTCTGTTCAGATATGCAGGATTACTCCATGAGCTGTTCAAACAAGATATCAGATCTTTAATATTTATGAACAAATCTGTTCATAACATTACAGATATTCAAAACAAAAATTAATGATTACATCTCGTTCACCTTTCAGTTTTTGGATGTTTGTTACTTAGTTCATATTTATTTCTGAAAAGGCAATCAGTGGTTGGTGAAATAAATTTTGTTACCTACTTATAATTATATTCACGTCAATTAGGTCCAGTAGGTAAAGAAGTTAATGCTTCAGATGCATGAATATCCGGGCTGGTCAGTTGTATTTCGAAAGGAAACGTGTTTAAGGGAAGAATTCTGCAAATGTCATCACAAATTAAATTGATCAATTTATTTTGTTTCGTTGATAGGTGTATTGACTATTCAATATACAATATCCTTCAATAGATTTATTGACGGATTTGATACTAATGTATCAAATTATTTATAATTTCTTTATTTTTACTATAAATACATTTCTGTAAATTAAAGGCTTCTGCAAAATTTAAACTTTTTCCACAAAAATACAACTCAGTGCCAAAATGTTTCTTCAAATATTCTTTTGAAGGGTATGGATGGATAATTGACAAATAAATTCTGTTCTATTATGGTGTGCCTGACATTTTACCTTTTCTTCACCTTTGGTTCACAATTGACTTATTAGGCCAATTTCTCAATTTTCTGTATTCAGGGATGTGAGTGGAGTTGAATTGCTGATGAACAATCACCAGAGCCTAAAGGCGGAGATTGATGCCCGAGAAGATAACTTCACGGCCTGCATCTCGCTGGGCAAAGAACTACTTTCTCGCAATCACTATGCATCTGCGGACATCAAAGAGCGTCTGCTGTCACTCACCAACCAGAGGAACGCCTTGCTGCATCGCTGGGAAGAACGCTGGCTCAACTTGCAGCTCATCTTGGAGGTGTACCAGTTTGCACGCGATGCTGCCGTGGCTGAGGCATGGCTAATAGCTCAAGAGCCATATCTAATGAGTCAAGAACTTGGAGTAAGTATTTTTTAGTTTATCTGATCTTAAATAATTACTTGATAATTCCAGATATGAACACATAAATAAAAGCAAGTATTGTTCAAAGATATGCTGGTATAAATTACATCAAAAATAAAATGTCATAATGATAATGTTTATAGCAAAATTAATGCCAGCCAGAAGTTCTGTATATTCATTCCGTTTTTTAGAATGGAATTGTTGAGCAATCTCTTGATAGATCTTTTAATGTGCAATTTTCTTTTAACAGCATACTATTGATGAAGTTGAGAACTTAATCAAGAAACATGAAGCATTTGAAAAATCGGCTGCTGCACAAGAAGAAAGATTTATGGCTTTGGAGCGACTCACCACGGTAAGTAATGAGAAGCAATGACAGAATTTTTTTATCTTTGAATAACAAGCATTAACCTTTTTCCTGTAATGCCATGCATTAGGATGAGAAAAGGAGTCAAAATACAATTTTTGAAATGAGTCCTTATTGGTGAAAGATACATATAAGGCACAGACTTTTAGTAGTGTTGGTGTGTTCAGAAAATGTTAAATTGGTGTTAAAATATCAAATTTTAGCATTATGTTTTAGACCACTAAAATTTTAGATTTGCATCCAGCAGATGCCAAGTTGATCTGAAACACGACTAGATTATACCGAAATATGACTTCCCAAGCCTTGCTGATTATATAAAGATTCTGTGAACGTGAATTCTTATTACATGTTGTTTTCCTTGTAAAGGGGTATTAGGAAAATACAAAATCAATAATTCTTTGGTTCTGAGAAAACTTTGTCACTCTCCCTTACTCCTTTGAACCAGAGGGAGTGTAGCTTGTTAATGTGCCAATCTTCATGATATAATGACAGTTTTTGAAGCTATGTTGTTGGTGTTAATGATCTCTTTTGCTCTACTATTTTGTACAAATAGTGGGTAGAACCTCCATGCTCGTAAAAGCAGGATTGACTTCAATTTGTTACTTGTCAGGTTATTTAACAATTTGGCCAATTCAAACATCTCTGCTAATATATTGTAAAAATGGGGATTTAGAAGGAAATTTGGTCATTTGACATTTGTTCTCTCCTAAATGCATTCCATTGCTTTTTTTCTTGGGTTTAAACACAGTGTAATCCTTTTCTTGGGTATCCTACATGCATATGTTTTACCCTATCCATTTCCTAGGTCCTTGTGAAGAGATTAGAAGTCCAACCTTTCTTTGGGAATCCTGGGAAAATGCAATTCACCGAATCCTACACTGTTGTGATATGTGATGAATATTAACCAAGCATGCCACCTTCTGTGACCTGGAAATAGTATGCTTATTGTATTGTTCTGGTTTGTTTTATTGTATTAAATGTCCTTGCATGAATATCCTTATGTCAGATAAACAAAACAAAAAATGACGTAGTGAGTAGTAGAAATATTTCATTTTTTATTCTGCATTTGTTTTAAATGATATTCACGTTTATTCTTTTTGTTTTTTGTATTAGCATTAATATTCTGAAAACTAGCTGTTTGTTGAGATGTTTTAGTATTTTGAGGGCTCTTACATTATTTGTTTTATTTCACCAGGTTTATCTGACATACAATACTTCTCTAACTTTGTTTGACGTATTGTAACCTTTTAATACAAGCATGTTCTGCATGAAATGTTTAATCTTGTTGTTTTTTGTTTGCTTGTTAGTACGAGACTCCCAGTAGTGTTGTAGATGGGCAAAGTGTGGTGGATCTTTCCCTGCGACCTCTGCGTCCTGTACGAAGCAATCCCTATCCTGCTGAGTACTTCTACCCACCCCCACCCCCTCCAGGTTACTGGCAGGAGCCAATTGAAGAAATTTACACTCAGGAATTCAAATCTCCGGGCAAGAAACGTTTTCGCCGTCGAACTCAAGGTGACATAGTGAGAGCAATAATTCTCGATTCAGACCGTTTTTACAATCCAGACAGACCTCGCCACTCAACAACTAGTTCCGGAGGAGAGGGTGAAAAACGGGTGAAAAGGTTATCATCGTTTTTGCATGATTCTTACCTGCGATCCGAGCCCACAAGTCCTAGTGTAGACAGCGATGCACCTGTATTTGAGCCAGAGCTTAGATTTTCTAAAATGGGTCGTGAGTATCGAAGGCAAAATACTGGAAGTGTATCCGAGGAACCACCTCAAAGACTAGAGACCAAGTCTAATAGGCATAGCTGCATGCCAAGTTTTCGTGATAATGATGTCAGAAAGCACTCAAAATCTGGTAGTTTCTCTGAAGAGATCTTTGAGGAAATTAATTTTAATAATGCTGAAGCATACCCTGAACATGTGTCTAGTAGTAATAAATTTCATAATGCCAATAACGATTCAGGAATAGTGGAGGTCATGCATAAAGCTGAAGTGAAGCCTGGAGAAGTGGGATTAAGAATTGGGAAGAGGAGGATACGATCACACTCAAGTAGTATATCAGACGATGCTGCACATCCTTATGGCGGGAAAACTCCAAATTGTTCCCGAGCATCTCTTTCAATGCCTCAGCAAGAATCCAGTCTCCATACAGATGACATTCTCCATTTAAGTTCTCAAATATCAGCCTTGTCACGTGATCTCAATTCTTCCCAGTCGTACAGTGTGTCCCTTTCGGACACGTATGAAGTGCCTTACGATTGTCTTCGCTTGACAGCCTCGGGATCTACACTTCCACGCCTTCATGAAGGGGAAAACGAACCCACTTTATTGTTAGATTCGCCAGTAGTTGGTCCGAAACACGGTCGGCCACATTATCTTAGGAAAAAGAGAAGACGACGATCCGGGTCAGGTCAGTCATGTGAATCTTCAGTATCCTCTGGATCACCCAGGCATTCCGATTCCTCTGATACAGAAACTCATTCTTGTTCCTCTGGTTCTGATATGGATCCTTTATTACCTGGGTCTACCATGCATGTGGAGAGTGGAAGCGTCCGAAGGCAGGTGAGTGGGTTGTAGTGCATGACTAGTGTTCTTTTTGTGTAATGCATTAGTAATTCCCATTAAGTGAGGCAGTGATTAACACTAAATCATTTATCTGAGATGTTCTTTCCTGAGTTGCAAAGAGAACGTGTTGGATACAATTTGTATTCCTGTGTGAAATTAAGTCTGTTTTACAGGTTTTGAGCATTTAACTAGGGTTTTTAGCCTATTAATATTAAAAGTAATAAAAAGTAAATTTATTTTTAACCTCATTATTTCATTGTTGATAAATACATATTTTGCCCCATTTTATACTTTATCTAATAAAGCTTCCTTCAGAGTATTTCAAAAGATGATTTCAGAGTAAACGAACAATTATGTGCAAGATTATTTATTTTCTTCTTCTTTTTAATACAAAAAAAAAGGTGAGAGAGACAATTTATGCTATTTTCTTTGGCCTATGATTTCAAAATTTCTTGAAAATTCTCAATTTAAGAGAACAATATCACACCTTTTGAATACAATGCACAAGAAATGAATTGCACATTCTTATCCTGCGACCATAATGATAATAAAATGAATATGCTTATGAAAATGAAATGAAAAGAAAGGTGTTATTATGTGTTGGAATTTTGGACAGTGCACACGCATCCAAAGTAACCTACACACCACTTCATCAAAGTTGTGAGATGCAACATGATGCATGAAACATTGTTAGCACTAAAGGTCACATGTTCACTGTATGTGCTTTCTAAGAGAGGATAGAGAATCTGCAGTCAAATGCTCAACACGTTGATTGGTGCTTATTGAATGGGATTGTATTGCCTGTCGATAACTCCTACAGAATGAATAATTTTCCTTCATAAAAATACTGTTAATTTGTAAACCTGTGTTGTAAGGTTACGTATTATTAATGTACATTGATCTTTAAATGTTTGACTACTACATTTCACAATATTAGAATTCCAAACTAGCTGCAAGTTTCATTAGTGAATGAATGATTCATGAATAGAGTGAATATATAAATTTTCTGGAAGCAAATAAGTAAACAAAAACATGCAAATATATGCACAAGATGTATGGAACAGGAAAAAAAATTACATAATACATTTTATTGCTTTCTCACTTTTACTTTTGAAATACTCTGTAGACATGGGAGCATACGTTTAGATTTCGAAATGCTTTTCCTAAACCAACTCTCTGCCCCCAGTTCGAGCTGAAGGAGCTGAAACGACGCCAAGAAGAGGAGGAACGATTGCGCCAAGAGGAGCTGGCTGCCAAGCAGACGCCACCCCCCAGCTCTCCTGAGAAGCCACGAGATGTAGCAGATGCGGAGCCTGTGGCGGAGGCTGATGCTTCGCAGGTGGATGGGGAGGAAACAGAGGCTCGAGAAGGTAAAAACCACTTCACCCCTGCGGTGGTTGCGAGGTATAGATGGTGGAGAGAGTGTGTGTGTGGGTGTCGCTGAGCTCTTCGCTTTGTCATTACATAAGTTTACCCCAAGGCAACATGCCCAGGAACGGAGGATGTCTAAAAATGTGTTTACTTAAACACTTTCAAACAGTAAGTTACTGCTGGGCATCAGTAATTCGTAACAGAAGCTGTGATGTTCTGTTAACTGCAAGTGTGATAAATTAATGAATAATGAAATATTTTTGTAATGAGGTGGGAATGCCAGGAATTAAAACACTACTGTCTTGTCAAATTAATTTTGTAATTGGGTTTTATGGTATGGGGCTAATTTTTAGTTGCTGTGGATTTGAGAGATTGTATTTATGAAGTCTTCACGAGTTGAAATTTCAAAGTGATGGATTGTAAATTCCCATGTTCCAAACTTACGAAATAACTTTTTTTAAAATTATTTGTAATAAATAGTTAATTACAGTTCCTAAAGTATCTTATGTTTGGTTTCATAACTGTTCACACCATACTCTTGAAAGAAACAAAAAAAAAGAGGTGGGGAAATATGCAAAATTACGTATTTTTGGTATTTGCATTGTTAATAGATTAATAGAAGTATTAGTCATTAAATATAGTATCCTGTATTGCTAAAAGTATCTTTCTTCATCTGTTTTGAGAATCTTTAAAAAAGTATTATTGCTTTTGTGAATGAAAAATGAATTTTTCCAGTATTGACATTGCGATGAACTTAGCAGTAGTGTATTGAATGATAGGATGAGTGCAAGAGTAAGTGGACAATGGTTGTCTGCCTCCTGAACTAACAGTCTGAAGCGGCCACTAACGTCGGTGCGCTCCCTGAGTTTGGAGACCCTTTGCTCTGTGTTCTGTCTTGTTCCCTTGTGATGCAGTTTGCAGGCTCTGGGAGTTTCATTTCCACCAGAGGGCCTTGCGTGGCTTCCAGCCAGAGCTTTTGCTTTGTTGAGTTGTCCCTCCCTGGGCTGGGGTGGAAGTGTGTAAAGCCTTACTCCGAGAGGAAATGTACTTCGTGGGCTGGGTGGCAATCCTGCATGTGGAAGATAAACTTAAAAGTTCAGAACTTGTGGAGCTGAAAGTTTTTTATTTATCGCCGCAGCTCTGAACTCTCTTGCCTTTCGTAAATGAGGAGGAGAAAATGTTAAAAAAAATTGCAAGTAACGTTTTCCTAATCTGAGTCACGATCAAGATTTGGATACAAACGGTCAAAACAATGTCGATTAAAGATAGCCATTAAAATTCAGTTCGTCAAGAATTTCAGCACATCAGAGGGGTCAGAAAAACTTGAAACATTAAAAATGAGGGGGGGATAGGAAAACTCAAAAAAAATAATTTAAAACTTTTTTCATAATTCAAAACAAAATTACTTTTAAATCGAGAATTTCTTTGTTACTTGAAAATGTAAAACTATTGCCACAAGTTATAAAACTAAAGCCTCATCGCTGATCACCTGAACAATCCAATCTTTCGCTAAAACTCCCAAAAACCTTTGTCAAGGGGGAGCATGGGAATTGGGTCTTACAGAGATCAGAATTGTTGTTTTGGAAAGATTCATGTCCCATGGTGCCAGGAGTTGGGTGGGGTGGGGTGGGGTGGTGGGAGGGGGTGCCCGCATGGCCTGACGGGACTTGTTCTCTGCCACCCAGCCACCCGCAAGCCCTCGACCAAGGCAACCCCCGTCGTGGAGAGACCCGCAGTGCGTGAAGGTGAGTGGTGGCCCCTAGGGTTCCAGTAGGGGCGGTGGTTGTCACGTACACTTGCCTACTAAATGCATCGACTCTCTCCCATTTGGCGACCGCAAGTGGACGCTGCTGCCCTTTATTTTAACTTTCGTTTTGCCTAAAATAAAGGACTCGCAAAATTCAGGATCAATTTTGGATGCTTCAACACTGAAACCAAATATTAAAAGGAAGTGACAATAAATTCAGTGAACGTGTTTATTTGATAAATTTTTAAAGCAAATTCTGCGTGGCTGTGTGTGCTGCATTTGATAATTTTAACATATCTCTATGCATATTTGAAATGCATATATATAAGATTCCAAAAACATTCAGTAGTTTTATTGCTTTTCCCTTTTTCTTCAATGGTTCCATTTGTTTTATTGCTATTTTTAAAACTCTTTTGCAAGTGGTTGCCTTGCTCAAACATGAAAATTGTGTGAATACCAGAGTAGCAGCTTGCCAAGAGTAATATTTGTGAAAGAAGATTTTCAGTACCCACTAGAAAATAAGGGGGAAAGGCAATGAAAGCGTGAGTAGGTCAAAAGACATGTGTACGTGGTTCTGGCCGCATTTCCCTTGGCTTCCTCCAAATGGAATGCCCCCCCCCATTGCCTCTGCCCTTGGTCTGGCTTGGGAACCTGCCTGTTGATGTCTGCCGGTTTGTTTTACACCTCACACTGAAATGGATATACATTTGGTAGTGAGCGGTAGTTGGACTGGAAATTCTTTAGAATTTGTGTTCTAAAATTGAGTATTAGTGCGGACCTCTTATTATTCAATGACAGTGGTTGGCTTTATTACAGAAATATAGTTTTTGAGTTTTCATTCGGGGGGATTAATTTGGTGGCTTTCACATTGGGTTCAATGAAATTTTAATCCCAGAAGACCGTTTGCCTTTTGCAAGATTATTTGCAATTATTTTTGTCTTTTAATGTAAAATTGTTGCGTAAGTAAGTCTTGTCACTATCTTTTCCAGTGTCACTGACATTTAAAGCTATTATAAAGAACTAAATTATGAAAAGGGTACATTGCATATTAGGTATGGTGTAGGATAACCTCCACGTTCAGATAATTTTTTTGTGTACTAATAGAAGTAGTTACTTTTGTCGATAAATTTTCTAGACTTCTTTTTGTCTATCTGTTTCAGTGTGTAGTGGAAACAGTCTTCATTCACTGTTGCATGGGATCACTACTTTTCACAAAAATCTAAATGTTATTTTGGGAATTACTTTCACCCAGAATGTTCCCAAGATTAGATAATTTTCATAAAAGAAGTACTTCATTCTATAATACAAGCAAAATGCAGTTATACATCAAATCTGAGCTAATGTTACCTTCTTAGTGTCCAGACTAAGAAATGATGCTAGCGTGACAATAGAATGCATGCTATCCATTTGAAACTGTAGTCAAATCAAGCTAAATTTTCATTTGGCAGTTTTAATACTTTTTGTTCCTAGAAAATGTTCCTCTTGGGGGATTAAAAAGGTTTATTTTTGCTTTGCCTGATATTTCTAAAAGTCTGCCTCTGAATGATTCCAACACAAGTTATGAGACTGTTGTGCGAATGAGAGAACAGTCTTAAGTTTGTGATTTATTGATGATATACCTAGGATCATAGCTCGCCCTAATTACCTAGCATCATAGCTCTAGCAATTATTTGTTCACGATTTAATGAATGTCTTTGGTTCAGTTGCTTGATTTGGTGTCACCCTGGCATGTTTATGTCCCGTCTTTGAATGACAGATGACATATGATGGTTTGTGTGTTTGATGTTGTATGTATAGGTTTGGATCAAGGGTCTGTTTTACAAAAGGAGATATTTCTTGTTTCTATGTTAATAGTTTAAACAATTTTGTGCTGTAAACTTGCTTTCATATTTTTGCAAATTGTATAAAACTAAGATGAGAGGCAAAATATTTAATCACATTTGTTGTTTTTATTTTAACAGTTGGTGTTATTGTCTCTAATTAAGAAATGTCTCCTATACTATTTGTGCACAAATGTCTTTATTCACAGCAAATGTTTCATTTACTTTTATGTTCAATGTGATATGTAAAAGGCTCGTGTCTTGTTTTGGTGAATGGCTTAAAGATGCAGTCTGTCTTCTTTTCTCACAGCCCTGAGGCTGTTTCTGCTGGAAAGTGCAACTATGAAACACTCTAGATCTGGAATTTTGCAGTTATTTAGCTTCTTACTTCGAATACTAACCAATTTTATTCTAATCATTTCTGTGCTTATTGAAGGGTGGATGTCAATTATTTTGTATTTTGTGATGTACAAATTGTGAGAGGAAAAGAGAGATTTCATGTTATTTGTTTAGTGAAAATTCTAGTTTTGGCAATAACTGATAACAAAATTAATTTGGTAAGATAATGGTTGAAAATCATTCCCAGTGAAAGTTCACTTTGGTTTCTTTCTAATAATTGTTTATCAATATTATTCTTGTTGTGTTACAAACAAATTTCTAAATGCTTCATTAGTAGTAGTTGCAGCAAAATTATTATTTTTCTTTTTGTATCATTGTAAAACTTTTTCAAAGAATGAAATTTTCACAAATAAATTAATTGACATCTACAATTCGTGCAACAAGTTCTTTCAGTCTTCACAGAAAGCTTTGAAATAAAGCTTGTAGTTGACACTTAGATGGAGGCTGGATTGGGGCGTTTGCTCACTTCGGGGAATTGAATTAGTGTTCCTTTGTCTTTTCTAAAATTGTTTTTGGCTAATAATCAGGTGAATTCTAGTCCCTATAAAGATGTATTCTTCTGGTGCTAGTTGTCTTTCAATTGTTACTTGCTATTTGTGTGGGGATATAGTGATGTTCTGAACAAGTGATGCTTTCAACTGCACTGTAACATCCAGGTAAGTGCTTTGTATGTTTCTTTCTCACTAGTTACTTTGAACTCTATCAGGTAAGATTAATACTTTGCCTGTTCGTGTGCATGGTGTGTCATGTGGCTATTGCTCTATTTGTTGGGACAGTAAATTTGGGCATGATCAAGTAGATTTGTGATTTTCATTGCCCTTGAAAAGAATGAATTGGCAGAGTTAGTTTTTTGCATGTCTTGTAGTGTTACACATTTGTTACTACTCTATTATAGATTTCAAAAAAAGAGACTTGCATCTTTAAAACAAATGTTTTATTCCTTCTTGTTTGACTATTTTTAAAAAGTCCGACTGAAAGGCACCAAATTTAATATTAAAACCACTAAACTTCCTGATATTGTAATTAGTGAGTTGGTAGTTGTGATTAACACCTTTAACTGCAAGTAATGGGAGAAAATAAAAATTTGTTCTCTCCTAATCCAAAATTTAAGTGCTATTTTTAATTTTGGCTTGAGAGCTAAGCCTGGAAATGCTATTTAAAATAAAAACTAGTGGCCTGAAGCTGCAGAGAGCACATAAATGGATGTGGCCATTCTAATAGGACCACAGGAGGATTAATTTCAGTTTCAGATAATCAATGATTTTCATTCATTTCTTAAGAAGGTAGATTACAGCTTCACACATAGTTCATTATAGCTGTAAAATAATAATGCTGAATAAACCTGCTGAGAAACCCTTGGCTGTTATCAAGCAGCATAAAAGTTAACCATGGACAGAAATACTGTTTGATATATGGATTTTCAATAATGAAATTAAAACGTTCATAGAATTACTCATTTTTTTCCTTGGTTTTGAGTTAATAATGTTTCAAACAAGGCATTTTGTAGGGTCTATAGTTCATTCAAGGTCATCCCATTACCCAGATTATTTATATAGATTTTTGAAATTTTAAACTGCAAAAAAAATTTTTTTTCTCTATATTTTCACTTTTATTTATTCTAAAAATCTCGCAGTAATAGTGTACGAAAATGAATGCTTACTACCTTCTTTTGTTAATTTTTGGATGAGGTTTCATTATTTTATTTTAACCTGCATAAGAAAATTAAAATCTGACCAATATTTCATTTTGCTTTTAACTAACTTCACTAAATCACATTTTTATGCACTTTTTGATTTCCTTTAGCATGAATGATATAGTTTGAATTTGAATGAATATTGCTCTTTTTGATTAATTTTTTAAACAAGCCCAAGTTACTTTTTGTTCTGTTCTTAACTATTGATGAAATGTTTTTTAATGAGAGAGAATGTATTTGGGTGTGTTTATGATCAAAGAGAGCAATGTGCTTGAATTGCTAGAGTGCTGAGTGAGCCAGTTGTTAGTGCTTGTTTTTAGTTGAGTGCACCATTCTAGAAACACAACACACAACATAAATATAATATTTTACATATTTGCCATGTAAATTCAGTAGTTTATTCGAAATTAAAATGTTTGGCTTTTTGAACCCTTGAGCTTAACAGTATAGTGTATTGAAAAATATTGAAAGATGTAGGAACATGATTGTCAGTAGATAAGATTTTTACAACTTAGTTCACTCCTAAATCATTTCCTTACTGTTCTTTGAATTACATTACTGAATTTATTATTAGTTTGTTTTTCTTGATAAATGAAGGCACATTGTACTCGCCATGATGTAGGTAGGTGCATAAATAATATTTATTTCAAAATCTGACACAGTAAAGCAATCGTCGTATACACTGGTGCGTTTTTGAATTTTTGTTCTGAATTTTCTCATGATACTTTATCTCTAAGAGGTGAAGATTGTGGAAAGGTTAACAATGAAGGCAGTGTAAACAATGACAGTGCCATATAGTCTAAGAGTAGTATTCAAATCAAAAGCTTTATCATCGGACACATATAACTTTTATCGAGATTTCTATTTGCAGTTAGTGGATAAGTTAGTGATTTAGATATTTCCATCGATATATTGGAGACCATAATATTCATTCCACTGGAATTCCACAACCACACGCATATGCACGCAGCATGTCTTGCATGTCTTGTTGCTCCTCAGCTGTGCATGAACCAAAGTCGCCGACGGCGACCTCGCCAATCGCCAAGGCTGCCAGCCCTGCTGCTGGTGACAGAGATAGTGCCACTCCAGCATCACCAGCAACAAACAATTCAGCTGCTAGCAGTAAGTACCTTTTACCTAAGGTTTCTCCAAGTTTACTGGGCTGTGTACTGTTTGATTTTTATTACAGCTTATTTATTTCAATAAGGAGTATATAATGGTCAATGGGAGAGCAAATGTGTGTTGTAAAGTTAATAAAATAACTTGTAATTAAAAATTCTCCACGATCACTATATTAAGTATATCATTTTGATATATATCATTGCAAGATATAATCATTGCTTATAAATTAGTAGGTTCATTGGTTTGCTAAAATTTTGCTTTGAAAACTTTTTTTTAAATTTGGAAAAGTTGGCTAATTTGTAGAAAATAAACACAAAACATTTCATTTGCTCTCAATTTAAATGTTATTTTAGCTTGTTTCCATCTTGTGGAAGATCTGTTGTGTGGCAAGTCATGATCCTTGGAAAAGAATTTAAATTTCTTGAAAACATTTCCTGTTATTTTATGAAGTGCAATTACTGCTTCACAAACTTCTTTCTATCCTTAGCATCAATATGAATTGCCTTACAACGGTTGCTAATTGCTTCTGAAATAAAGCAAGGCTCATCATGAATTCAAATTAATTATTGTATAAAATTGAGAGGATTTAATTCAATTTTCCAAAAGTTTGAAGAAACAGGTTTGGTAATCTTGCTGAAAGTAGTCAGAATCGCTTGTGCAAAGTAGTATGAAATATTGATTTCATGATGACTCTTTAAGTTGCTTCCAAAGTGCTCTGCTTTTCTCATTCAGTACCCAGCCCAGTGTAGGTAAGTCTTAGATTATTCTTTCTTTAATTATTTCGGCCATAAGGAGGATGGAGTAATTAGAAGAGATCTAATGCTGTTTTACCACATCTGGTTGCGAACATCAAGACAGCTTTGCTCAATTCTGTCCACTAACTGCACAATTTCTGGTGGCTGGTTATGGCTAGGGGCTGGAAAATAGAACGGTTTCATCAAAACATTTCAATGCTTCCCCAACATCTGCTCATGTGTATGATTTACTGAACAAATATCAGAACTGATCCTTGTTAAAGTTAACATGAATATTGTCAAGAAATTAACATTTGCAATCATACATTCAGATCCTGCATTACACATATTGTAGGTAGATTCTTGATTGTAAAACATTCACCAAAAATAGAGTTAAGAATGTTAAATTGTGGGAATTCAATTTATGCTGAACTTGATTCTGCAATAAAAAATAAAAAGGTGGATTATCTAACTCTTAATGCAGAACTTGGGGGGGGGGATGGTTCCCTTTATTTAGATACAATTGCAAATGTTAAACTTTCTAGGAAAGATTTTGTAAGTGCTGGAACACTTTTCAAATTTGCAAAGACTACTTCTTACACATAGCGTGATTGTTGGTAGAACATTGAAGTGGTCTGTATGGCGTAGAGGAACAGGAGGCTGGGTTTGGATAGGCTTCATGGCATGGAAACGTAACTAACATAACGTTGGCGAAGCGATTGCCCCTTTTGTGCCCTCGGCATTTCCTCCCTTTACTGAACCGAGTTTGAATTGATCCTCTCCTTACCCTAAAAAAGTGAACACATACGATTTTTGTGGTGATGGCTTTTTTATATTGACTGAAATTGATGATTTTTGTAAGTTTTAAGGCTTTTTTTCTCTTCTTTTTCTTTCTTCATTCTAAAAAGTATTTAATTCAGTTATAAGTCAGTTGAAAATTCCCGGTTTTTATTGTATCTGTTGTGCCTGTGTTTAAGGCCTTTGGATATTACAAATTCAATTTTAAATTATTTTATTCTTAATAAATCATTGTGTTTTAGAATTCTAATAGGAAATGAGAAAGTTATATATGATTTTTTATTTAATACTTTTTTAATGCATTGTGATCTTCTGGGGCTGATACTCAATGGTGACTTTCAAGCTTTCTTTTGAATTTTTGTGATGGATTTACACAGTATTCAGATGACACTTTTTATTTTCCATGATAAATTTATTTTGAAACTGTGCTTAAATCCATTATACAAACTTATTTTTGTGCCGCTTTCGTTCGCTTTTAATGTTAATGTGTATGAGGTCACTTTCAGTCAAAGCGTTAGGTAGCACAACTAACAAAGAATTTCTCCTTTCCTTTCCTTTCCTTTTGTTGCCTCTCTAATCTTATTTTTGGGAAGCTTAAGAGATATTAATTTACTTCATTTTCATATTGTGAATTCAGCAAAGTAAAAGAATCTATTATAAAAAGAAAACAGATTTTATTGGGAACTACCGTAAAATCATGAACAATGGCTTTTGCAGAATACTAAAAGACATTGTGGATGGCCATTTGTCCTCTATAATTTAATTTACTATTTTTCGTACAGAATAGATTGTAGAAATCATTGCAAAAAGACGATTGTTGATTTGGGGTATGAGAAGGAAAAGAAATACGGGACACGTTCTCCTCATTTTTGTCAAAAATTGAAAAAGGGCTTAGCACGGTTAGTTTGCCTCCCCGAAGAGATGATCCTTTGTCACACACACACACACACACAGAAAAGGTAGGGAAGTAGTGAATGCCCCTTTGGTCCGGAGTGTTTGGCTTCGCGATGTGGGGTGGTTCTATACAACGCGAAGAGAAAGTCGGGAGTGGCGGTTGCCGTGTACTACTGCGCAGAAAACTTCGCATCGACCGCCGGCGTCGATGGGCGAATTGCTTAATCGTGCTCCTTGAAGTCACGGAGGTTAAGCGGCTCGTGCCAGTGAGTGTCCCTGGATGGGCGACCATCTGGGAGTACCGGATACTAAAGGCACCGACCCTAGCCGATAGGGAGAAAAGGCAATGACATAGACAAAATGACGATATTCAAGGTTCACTCCATGTTCATTGATTTATGAATACGCCCGGAAAGAATTTAGATTCCGGCGTCGTTAGTCGAATTGCTTAGCTATGCTCCTTGAAATCACAGAAGTTAAGCAACTCGAGGCGCTACGAATTCGTTGACAGGTGACCGTTGGGAACCCCGGTTATTAATGGCGCCGCGCCCCCTGGCCGAAGGGATAAACGTCATTGACTGGGCCTGTGACGTTTACACGCACACACACACTCGTGCCCAATGCGCAAAAGGTCTAATAGGCGTTGAGCAAAAGGCGCAACTAATATTTTTTAAAAATACTCCGTTTTCAATGCCGAATAAATTTTTTTGAACATAGTTACGAGAGTAACCGAATTTAAAGGTAGGAAAGAGGGGGGCGGTTGGGAGGTACGGGTGGTGTAGTTTTCTTCTTTTCCCCTTTCCGTCCCGCATCTCCGCCCCGCCCCGCCGAGGGCACAGCGAGAGAGAGAGAGAGCGCCCCGCTTCCCCTCGTGGGGGGAGGGGCCACGCGCGACGTGACGGGCGGTTGGCGTCGCAGCGCCCCGCGGGCCGGCCATCAAGGACGGGGCGCTGTCCCTGGACCGCAAGAAGGAGCGGTCGCGCTCCAAGTCCCCGTTCCGGAGCTTCCGCTGGAAGAAGGGCGGCCCCAAGAGCCCCTCGTCCGCTTCGCCCGGCGGCGCCCACAGCGACGACGAGGCCGCCCTGGAGCGCGCCGCCGCAGGTGAGGCAGCGGGCGCGTCGCGCACACGTCTCGTCTCGTCACGACCGCCTTCCGTCTCGTCACGACCCGACCCGCCTTCCGTCTCGTCACGACCCGACCCGCCTTCCGTCTC